TATAAATGATGTACCAAAATTTGTTGGTTTTCACTTTTCTTATTAAAAAATACTTTTAAAAAACGTGTTCTGGCTGTGCACTACACTAAACTCTTATTACAATATATAAATGAGGATTAATCATTCTGCTCCAGTTATCGGCGACATCGCCTGAGCAAAGCCAGAGACGAGGGCGCGGGTGTAATTTTTGCGGCGGCTGAGACGGGAAAGTGTCGACTTGCAGCTTTGCACCGTTTAAAGGTATACATAATCAAATCCCATTTCTACATTCTTGATCAATTCTTTTACTGCTGCTTTTCTTTGGCTGCTTGTTCAGTATAAGCCTCCATTTCTGTGAATTTCTTAGGTCAATTTTCCGTATCTATTTTTCTCCTTGATTAATATGCGAAATGGGATTTCTTAGAGAACCTATGTTAGCTGAGTAGCTAATTTTTTATTTTTTATTTTTAGTTGTGTTTCTGGGTCGAGGATTTGACTTTTTCATGGATTTTGAAATGAAAAAAGGCAAATGATGTAATAGGAAATGATTTGCAGGTCTTTTCTTTTCTTTTCTTTTCTTTTTTTTATTATTATTTGGGGCAAAGGGAAAAGTGGGAATGGGGAAAGATAAAGAAAAAACAAAGAAAAATTAAGAGGGTTCTATTCATTTTAGGTGGAGCGCCTTAACATCCACGAAGGATTGTTTAACGTCCTTAAGGACCTTCTTCTCAGGTCCATTTGTAGGCATTATTTTTGAGCAATGCATTAGCAAAATGGAGTAGAAGTTAATCAAAATCATCATAGCAAACAGAAACTATATTCTTTGTCAAATCCTCTGGCTCCAGCTACCCAATAAAAATGAATTATGTCACCATTACAAGAGATGCCTATAGTTTTTGTTATCATCTTCCAACATTAAAGCTTCCTGCTGTAATTCCCAGCCAAGTCCATTAACTTTGTTTAGGTGAATGATTGTAGAACATTTTAATTTTATGAGAAGAATGTAGAATAACACTCCCTGCACTACTCAGAACTTGAGGTAGATGATAAAGGTGAGAGAGAGAGAGAGAGAGAGGGATATGAGTTAGAAAGATTAGCATTTATAAGAGGAGAGATAGAATATGGTTGTTATGAGAGTCGTTGGGTGGAGAACTCAGCCAGAGACTTGAAAAGTTAGGAAAGTTGGATTGTTGGTTGGTAATGTTGCAGTTTGGTTGTTTCTTTTGTGAGTGGTATTTAAATTATTTTGTCATGTTGAATTGATAGGGGAGTAGTGGCATGATACCTTGTTAGAAGTTTTCTAAACCCTTATATTTACCTAAAAAATGTCTGATATAAATGATAAGAAATTTGACAAATGAGCAAGGTGTTTTTTATTTTTTTATTATTATTTTTATTTCATAACAAACAAGGGATTCCATGCAAACACACAGCTTGATTATTATTAAGTTCGTTATTGATGAAAAATAAATGTTGGGCTTGTCAATAATTGCTTTAGTATTGCCAATGATAGGCATTTTATTATCATTTTGGTAGGAAATTTGCCAGTTAGAGTGTTAGACTTAGGTTTATTACTCAATTTGCTTACAAATCTTGAGTGCTGAGCATTTGATAGCAATTCCATTGTGGGAAAGTAGACTCTAGACAGCAGATGAAAAGGTATAGAGGGGCTTCTTGTTTTTGCCATTGGCATCTAGGACATTGCACTCCCTTTGGTGTGTCCTTTCTTGAGTTGTATAGCAAATGGATATTATGAAATACTGGAGGATTTGGCCCTCACAGTAATGTCTGAAAGATTTAGTACACTGATAATGCCAAGAAATGGACCATTATATGTCCATGTTTAAAAGTCTAGAAAGGAAGCATGTTTTACTTTTATCACTATTAAAGGAAGTACATTTTGTGGTGACTATTCCATGTCCTTGAATTTACTGAAGTTTTCTTCTGACCCAGTATATACCCGATCTTGCTGTAAACCATTATTTAACCTTTTTGGTTTTTCCTTTTTGAGTTATAATTTTTCACTTTGAATGTGCGTGTGTGTGTGTTTTTTTTTTTTTTTTTTGGGTATTGATCAAGGGCTTCAATAAAAACATACTGAAAAGATATTCTGGATCTAGAGAAGGATGGTCAGTTTTTTTTTTTTTTTTGCTTACTCATGAGATATAGTTAATATAAATATGGAAGACACAAAATCTGCTATCTCTTTTCCAGGAAAAGTTAAAAGTAGATTTTCTTTACTATTCTACATTGAAATTTTATCCTCCAGCAGTTCTATGGGATCTTTTTACAGGTCACATATTTTGTGTTTTTCCATTTGAAGTGTCAGGACAGACATTTAGCTATGGCTATGGCATTGGCAGCACAAGTCCGTGAATGGATAGAATTCCCTCCTGCCACACAATCAAAATTGCTTGAACTGATAGGAAAGCTTGACCAAGAGGTCCCACATGTTGACCTAATGCTCATTATACATGAGTCTGTAGAGTTAGCTAAAACTTAAATGTGCAATGTTGTGGCTATCAGCCATGCATGACATCATCTTTTTTCTTGGTACATGTGTTTCAATTTAAAGTGTGTAATTTTTAAAGTATCAAGATATATTGATACAGAATGTCAGCAAGTTGACAATACTAGTGATGGGGAAAGGTGGTGCTGGGAAATCATCAACTGTAAACTCAATTATAGGGGAAAAAGTAGTGGCTGTGAGTACTTTTCAGGTATTAGTGGCTTCACTTTGTCCTGGTTAAGCCAGCATTTATGTGGTGAAATATTTTGTATGACTTGTATTGTGCTGTTCTACTAGTCAGAAGGTCCAAGACCTGTGATGGTGTAACGCACAAGGTCAGGATTTACATTGAATGTCATCGACACACCTGGGTTGGTAGAAGGAGGTTATATCAATAAGCATGCACTTGAGATTATAAAATGGTATGCAGCAGCTAGAGAGGTAGAAGCTTCAAGCACTTGCAGATTTTTATTTTTATTTCTTTCTGGCACTTGTTCGAGAAGTTAGCTTCAATCCACTTTCAATTCTCATTTTTCTTTGGGGGCTGGATTTTAAGTGCATGAGCAGTTTCCTTTTAAAGAAGACCATAGATGTTCTACTGTATGTCGACCGTCTGGATGCATATCAGGTCGATAATTTGGATAGGCTGGTTGTCAAAGCTATTACGGATAGCTTCGGTAAGGAAATATGGAAGAGAGCTTTAGTTGTCCTCAGCCATTCTCAGCTTTCCCCTCCAGATGGATTGAACTATTATATTTTCTTCTCCAAAAGATCAGAGGCTGTTTTAGAAGTTATTACTCAGGGTGCCCAGCTGAAGAAAGGTGATCTGCAGGTGTGTGGCTTGTCTTTCTTACTTTTGATTGCTAAGTATATGATTTTTATAGTTGGTAAGGATGCTAGCTGTAAACTAGGTTAGTTTCCAATTCTTCCTCAAAATATGTGATGCCAGGCAGATGTTGCCATTCCCATTGATAAATTACTCGATGCTCTTCCATGAGCTTTAAATGCTGCAGAGAGATTATTTTACTCTCAGCCTAGGACATTAGGAAAAGGTAGAGCTAAACCCATGTTGCTCAAACTCACAAGTGAGCGAAATTCTACTGAACCAAATTAACAGATCAAACTGAGAAGCATTTGATTTGGTTGGTATGCAAATGTTAAAATGATGT